GAAAGAGTTCAGGAGGGGGTGTTCAGAAAGAGTGCTTGGGGGGCTACTGGGGGCTGGGCTTCTAGGAAGGTAGGTAGGAGGGTCTGGGGTAGGGCCTGGGTAGGTAGGTCTGGAGTAGGAAGGGCATACTGGGTCTGAAGATTGGGGAGGGCATAGAGGGGTTGGGAGATAGCGTAAGGTTGGGAGACAGATAGAGGTTGAGAGGTGGGAGGGGAAGGATAGAGGGGGTCGGGGGGACCTCCCACCTCCCTCGCAAGGGTGGGGGGTCACATGGAAGGAGAGGGGATGAGGAGGGGTGAGGGCTGGGTAGGCTTTGGGTGTTGAGAGGATGAGGTCTGGGTGGGTTCTTGGGGTTGAGGGGATGAGGTCTGGATGGGTTTTGGGGGTTGAGGGGATGAGAGCTGGGTGGGTTTTGGGGGTTGAGGGGATGAGGGCTGGACGGTTTTGGGTGAGTGTGTGTTCCCTGCTCCTGTGTGTACCTGTGTGTGTCTTGTGTGTGTGTGTGTGTGTGTGTGTGTGTGTGTGTGTGTGTGAGTGTGTGTGAGTGTGTGTGTGCGTGTGTGTGAGTGCGTGAGTGAGTGATTAGTGAGTTAGGGACCATAGTGTGAGCCAGGTCCCTCGGGGCCGAGTGACCTGCACCACAGGGGTCGGGTCAACTCTCCCTGGGGTCACAGGGAGGAGCATTATCAGGCCATGAGATAAGGTACACACCAACGGTGTTCCTGTTCCCTGCTCCTGCTTACCTTGTGTGTCTTGACGTTCCCTGCTCCTGCCTGCCCTGTGTGTCCTGGTGTTCCCTGCTCCTGCCTGCCTTGTGTGCCCTGGTGTTCCCTGCTCCTGCCTACCCTGTGTGTCTTGGTGTTCCCTGCTCCTGCCTACCCTGTGTGTCTTGGTGTTCCCTGCTCCTGCCTACCCTGTGTGTCCTGGTGTTCCCTGCTCCTGCCTGCCTTGTGTGTCCTGGTGTTCCCTGCTCCTGCCTACCCTGTGTGTCCTGGTGTTCCCTGCTCCTGCCTGCCTTGTGTGTCCTGGTGTTCCCTGCTCCTGCCTGCCTTGTGTGCCCTGGTGTTCCCTGCTCCTGCCTGCCTTGTGTGCCCTGGTGTTCCCTGCTCCTGCCTGCCTTGTGTGCCCTGGTGTTCCCTGCTCCTGCCTGCCTTGTGTGCCCTGGTGTTCCCTGCTCCTGCCTGCCTTGTGTGCCCTGGTGTTCCCTGCTCCAGCCTACCCTGTGTCCTGGTGTTCCCTGCTCCTGCCTGCCTTGTGTGTCCTGGTGTTCCCTGCTCCTGCCTGCCTTGTGTCCTGGTGTTCCCTGCTCCTGCCTGCCTTGTGTGTCCTGGTGTTCCCTGCTCCTGCCTGCCTTGTGTGTCCTGGTGTTCCCTGCTCCTGCCTACCTTGTGTGTCCTGGTGTTCCCTGCTCCTGCCTACCTTGTGTGTCCTGGTGTTCCCTGCTCCTGCCTACCCTGTGTGTCCTGGTGTTCCCTGCTCCTGCCTGCCTTGTGTGTCCTGGTGTTCCCTGCTCCTGCCTGCCTTGTGTGCCCTGGTGTTCCCTGCTCCTGCCTGCCTTGTGTGTCTTGGTGTTCCCTGCTCCTGCCTACCCTGTGTGTCCTGGTGTTCCCTGCTCCTGCCTACCCTGTGTGTCCTGGTGTTCCCTGCTCCTGCCTACCCTGTGCCCTGGTGTTCCCTGCTCCTGCCTACCCTGTGTGTCCTGGTGTTCCCTGCTCCTGCCTACCTTGTGTGTCCTGGTGTTCCCTGCTCCTGCCTACCTTGTGTGTCCTGGTGTTCCCTGCTCCTGCCTACCCTGTGTGTCCTGGTGTTCCCTGCTCCTGCCTACCCTGTGTCCTGGTGTTCCCTGCTCCTGCCTGCCTTGTGTGTCCTGGTGTTCCCTGCTCCTGCCTGCCTTGTGTGTCCTGGTGTTCCCTGCTCCTGCCTACCCTGTGTGTCCTGGTGTTCCCTGCTCCTGCCTACCCTGTGTCCTGGTGTTCCCTGCTCCTGCCTACCCTGTGTCCTGGTGTTCCCTGCTCCTGCCTACCCTGTGGGTCCTGGTGTTCCCTGCTCCTGCCTGCCTTGTGTGTCCTGGTGTTCCCTGCTCCTGCCTACCATGTGTGTCCTGGTGTTCCCTGCTCCTGCCTACCCTGTGTGTCCTGGTGTTCCCTGCTCCTGCCTACCCTGTGTGTCCTGGTGTTCCCTGCTCCTGCCTACCCTGTGTGTCCTGGTGTTCCCTGCTCCTGCCTACCTTGTGTGTCCTGGTGTTCCCTGCTCCTGCCTACCCTGTGTGTCCTGGTGTTCCCTGCTCCTGCCTACCCTGTGTCCTGGTGTTCCCTGCTCCTGCCTACCCTGTGTGTCTTGGTGTTCCCTGCTCCTGCCTACCCTGTGTGTCCTGGTGTTCCCTGCTCCTGCCTACCCTGTGTGTCCTGGTGTTCCCTGCTCCTGCCTACCCTGTGTGTCCTGGTGTTCCCTGCTCCTGCCTACCCTGTGTCCTGGTGTTCCCTGCTCCTGCCTGCCTTGTGTGTCCTGGTGTTCCCTGCTCCTCTGTGTTTACATTCATGTTTCTGCTGTTCCTAGTGTTAATAATTGTCGATGTAATTACTTCACCGACGCTGTCTGGTGGTTGGTTCCGCTGGTCCATAACGGTAATGGTTCACTAATGGCGGGGACAGGAAGCCTTAAGGTTCATAGTTTACCTTATGTCAACTTCTGGTCTTCCTGTGGCTGGGTACCCCACCACACTGGCAGTGACCTTCCTGTGGCTGGGTACCTCACCACACTGGCAGTGACCTTCCTGTGGCTGGGTACCCCACCACACTGGTGGTGACCTTCCTGTGGCTGGGTACCTCACCACACTGGTAGTGACCTTCCTGTGGCTGGGTACCCCACCACACTGGTGGTGACCTTCCTGTGGCTGGGTACCCCACCACACTGGTAGTGACCTTCCTGTGGCTGGGTACCCCACCACACTGGTAGTGACCTTCCTGTGGCTGGGTACCCCACCACACTGGTAGTGACCTTCCTGTGGCTGGGTACCCCACCACACTGGTGGTGACCTTACTGTGGCTGGGTACCCCACCACACTGGTGGTGACCTTCCTGTGGCTGGGTACCTCACCACACTGGTGGTGACCTTCCTGTGGCTGGGTACCCCACCACACTGGTAGTGACCTTCCTGTGGCTGGGTACCCCACCACACTGGTATTGACCTTCCTGTGGCTGGGTACCCCACCACACTGGTAGTGACCTTCCTGTGGCTGGGTACCCCACCACACTGGTGGTGACCTTACTGTGGCTGGGTACCCCACCACACTGGTGGTGACCTTCCTGTGGCTGGGTACCTCACCACACTGGTGGTGACCTTCCTGTGGCTGGGTACCCCACCACACTGGTGGTGACCTTCCTGTGGTTGAGTACCTCACCACACTGGTAGTGACCTTCCTGTGGCTGGGTACCTCACCACACTGGTGGTGACCTTACTGTGGCTGGGTACCTCACCACACTGGTAGTGACCTTCCTGTGGCTGGGTACCCCACCACACTGGTGGTGACCTTACTGTGGCTGGGTACCCCACCACACTGGTAGTGACCTTACTGTGGCTGGGTACCCCACCACACTGGTAGTGACCTTCCTGTGGCTGGGTACCCCACCACACTGGTGGTGACCTTCCTGTGGCTGGGTACCCCACCACACTGGTAGTGACCTTCCTGTGGCTGGGTACCCCACCACACTGGTGGTGACCTTACTGTGGCTGGGTACCCCACCACACTGGTGGTGACCTTACTGTGGCTGGGTACCTTACCACACTGGTAGTGACCTTCCTGTGGCTGGGTACCTCACCACACTGGTGGTGACCTTCCTGTGGCTGGGTACCCCACCACACTGGTGGTGATCTTCCTGTGGCTGGGTACCCCACCACACTGGTGGTGATCTTCCTGTGGCTGGGTACCCCACCACACTGGTGGTGACCTTCCTGTGGCTGGGTACCTCACCACACTGGTAGTGACCTTCCTGTGGCTGGGTACCTCACCACACTGGTAGTGACCTTACTGTGGCTGGGTACCCCACCACACTGGTGGTGACTGGAGCAGGAACTGAAGTGTTCAGGTGAACAACCAGTCAAGTTAATAGTGAAGTGTGACACAAGAGTCAAGATGGCTGCTGCTGCTGCCACCATCTCCTGCAGTTCATCCTTCAGATCTGGGCCAGGATTTATCAATCATTTACCCAGCCGCTGACGGAGCCTGTTCATCTCTCAACATCCTCTGGGACATCGTTAACATTTATAAAACAGTATACGAGCTTCGAAACATCACAACCCGAGGTTATAACGTTTCGAAGAACAACCTCGTAGTTCTTCACAGATCACAAGCTGTTTAAAATTAATGAAAAAGTTGCTATAAGTGTTGAAGGATAGAAATGTTTCGTAAGCGGATGCGGAAATGTGTCATGAATCTTGGCTCTGGACTCTGGAGCACAAGTGTACTGAGGTACCTCCTGGCCAATGATGGGGACCAACTTTACAACTGTCCTCGAGCCAACCCGTCCTCACACCAAGTCCATTCTATCCAGCGCTCGACCCCACAGACGCAGTGATCAATTTTAACATGTTGTTCACTCAAAACGGGAATTTTCTCAAGTATAAATTAATATTATAATATATCATATTGTGCATATATTGGCATAGGTTAGGTTAGGTGTTTAGGTTCTGTTGGCGATTATTTGTATTTGTAGTACGTGGGTGAAGCATTTACAGCGTTGTGGTTCGAACAAAATTCGTCAGTGAAGCACTTGTTCCGGATATGTTCGAACGTCAGCAGTTGTGAGTCGTGTGTAAACCGCTTTTCAGTCCTGGTGTTCGGCAGGTGCATGGAATCACTTTTGGATCTTTGTTTGGAGGACGGGTACAGCTAGTAATAAATAAAATAATAACAGTAATATCATTAAATAAAGACAGTGGGTAGCGATAATTAAGACACAAGTGGATGAGGGCGGTGGATGAAGGTGATGGATGAGGCTCACCTGCACTCCTGGCGCCCTGGTTCATCACCCGGACGGCCTGGGTGAAGAGTGGGCGGATGGGCGGGCCGAGGGCGTCGTGCCACGCCCGCCACGCCCACAACAACAGCTGGGGATCCCGCGATGTCCTCATGAGGGCGGTCAGGTCACGCTGGCCGCGGTACACGGTGCGGTTGTGGGTGAGGGTCAGGGAGGAGTAGCGGAGCCGCATGCGGGATACCAGGGTCGTCAGCGATCTGCGGAAGCGGCGTGTGTGAGGTCAGGGGGGGCGGGGGGGGTGGAGGTGCCGCTTGCGGAAGAAGAGCGGCGGTCTGACAGTCATGTGTGCACATCTGTAGGTACATATGTAGAGATACTACCCATCCCATGGGTGATAGTGCCCTCCATACCCATCCCATGGGTGGTAGTGTCCACCATACCCATCCCATGGGTGGTAGTGCCCACCATACCCATCCCATGGGTGGTAGTGGCCACCATACCCATCCCATGGGTGGTAGTGTCCACCATACGAATCCCATGGGTGGTAGTGGCCCACCATACCCATCCCATGGGTGGTAGTGGCCACCATACCCATCCCATGGGTGGTAGTGTCCACCATACCCATCCCATGGGTGGTAGTGCCCACCATACCCATCCCATGGGTGGTAGTGGCCACCATACCCATCCCATGGGTGGTAGTGGCCACCATACCCATCCCATGGGCGGTAGTGCCCTCCATACCCATCCCATGGGTGGTAGTGCCCACCATACCCATCCCATGGGTGGTAGTGTCCACCATACCCATCCCATGGGCGGTAGTGTCCACCATACCCATCCCATGGGTGGTAGTGGCCACCATACCCATCCCATGGGTGGTAGTGTCCACCATACCCATCCCATGGGCGGTAGTGCCCTCCATACCCATCCCATGGGTGGTAGTGCCCACCATACCCATCCCATGGGTGGTAGTGGCCACCATACCCATCCCATGGGTGGTAGTGTCCACCATACCCATCCCATGGGCGGTAGTGCCCACCATACCCATCCCATGGGTGGTAGTGGCCCACCATACCCATCCCATGGGTGGTAGTGGCCCACCATACCCATCCCATGGGTGGTAGTGGCTCACCATACCCATCCCATGGGTGGTAGTGGCCCACCATACCCATCCCATGGGTGGTAGTGGCCACCATACCCATCCCATGGGTGGTAGTGGCCCACCATACCCATCCCATGGGTGGTAGTGCCCACCATACCCATCCCATGGGTGGTAGTGCCCACCATACCCATCCCATGGGTGGTAGTGCCCACCATACCCATCCCATGGGTGGTAGTGGCCCACCATACCCATCCCATGCGTGGTAGTGCCCACCATACCCATCCCATGGGTGGTAGTGTCCACCATACCCATCCCATGGGTGGTAGTGCCACCATACCCATCCCATGGGTGGTAGTGTCCACCATACCCATCCCATGGGTGGTAGTGCCACCATACCCATCCCATGGGTGGTAGTGCCCACCATACCCATCCCATGGGTGGTAGTGCCCACCATACCCATCCCATGGGTGGTAGTGCCCACCATACCCATCCCATGGGTGGTAGCCCATCACCTGCAGTGATACATTATCTTGAGGTTATCTTGAGATGATTTCGGGGTTTTAGTGTCCCCGCGGCCCGGTCCTCGACCAGGCCTCCACCCCCAGGAAGCAGCCCGTGACAGCTGACTAACTCCCAAGTACCTATTTTACTGCTAGGTAACAGGAGCATAGGGTGAAAGAAACTCTGCCCATTGTTTCTCGCCGGCGCCTGGGATCGAACCCAGGACCACAGGATCACAAGTCCAGCGTGCTGTCCGCTCGGCCGACCGGCTCCAACCGGTTATCCTCCAGGGGAGGATAACCTGTCCACAGGGGAGGATAACCTGTCCCCAGGGGAGGATAACAGGTCCCCAGGGGAGGATAACCTGTCCCCAGGGGAGGATAACAGGTCCCCAGGGGAGGATAACCGGTCCCCAGGGGAGGATAACCTGTCCCCAGGGGAGGATAACAGGTCCCCAGGGGAGGATAACCGGTCCCCAGGGGAGGATAACAGGTCCCCAGGGGAGGATAACCTGTCCCCAGGGGAGGATAACAGGTCCCCAGGGGAGGATAACCGGTCCCCAGGGGAGGATAACTGGTCCCCAGGGGAGGATAACCGGTCTCCAGGGGAGGATAACCGGTCCCCAGGGGAGGATAACCGGCCCCCAGGGGAGGATAACCGGCCCCCAGGGGAGGATAACCGGTCCCCAGGGTAGGAATACCGGTCCTCAGGGGAGGATAACCGGTCCCCAGGGGAGGATAACGGGCCCCCAGGGTAGGATAACCGGCCCCCAGGGGAGGATAATCGGTCCCCAGGGGAGGATAACCGGTCCCCAGGGAGGATAACCGGCCCCCAGGGGAAGATAACCGGCCCCAAGGGAAGATAACCGGTCCCCAGGGGAGGGTAACAGGTCCCTAGGGGAGGATAACAGGCCCCCAGGGTAGGAATACCGGTCCCCAGGGGAGGATAACCGGTCCCCAGGGGAGGATAACCGGTCCCCAGGGGAGGGTAACCGGCCCCCAGGGAAGGATAACCGGTCCCCAGGGGAGGATAACCGGCCCCTTAGGGTAGGATAACCGGCCCCCAGGGTAGGATAACCGGTCCCCAGGGGAGGATAACGGGCCCCCAGGGTAGGATAACCGGTCCCCAGGGGAGGATAACCGGTCCCCAGGGGAGGATAACAGGCCCCAAGGGAAGATAACCGGTCCCCAGGGTAGGAGGGGAGGATAACCGGCCCCCAGGGTAGGATAACCGGTCCCCAGGGGAGGATAACGGGCCCCCAGGGTAGGATAACCGGTCCCCAGGGGAGGATAACCGGTCCCCAGGGGAGGATAACAGGCCCCCAGGGTAGGAATACCGGTCCCCAGGGGAGGATAACCAGTCCTCAGGGGAAGACATTATAGTCTATTACAAAAATATATTTACTCAGTGTTATAAGAAAGATGAAAAGACTATATGATATATAATTGACGGTTAGTAAACCTTGCAGTGAAAATGAAAGTGAAAATTGCCATGAAAATTCGTCCTATCATTTAAGAGAACAACTCTCACCCAGCTCCCCAGATTATAGATAACATCTCTGCCTCGTCTGACACTCTGAGGTGTACTAGGCAACCCGTTCTCGCAAATTCGTAAAGTCAATATTGACTTATTAACTACGTGCATAGGTGATATACTAAACATAATAGATACCCTTAAAAAGATTCATAGAAAACACCGACCTTACCTAACCTTGTTAGTATCTTAAGATAAGCATCTTATTGCTTCGTAATTACAATTATTACTTAACCTATACCTATTATAGGTTAGGTAATAATTGTAATTACGAAGCTCTAAGATGCTTATTTTAACATACTAAGTAGGTTAGGTGAGGTCGGTGTTTTCTATGAAGCTTTTCAAGGGAAACTATTATGTTTAGTATGTCACCTATGCACATATTTAATAAGTCAATATTGACTTATTAAATTTGCGAGAACGGGTTGCTGTGAAGGATATAGTACCGGGGCCCGCGGGTGTAGCACGTACCTGGCCTGGTGGGTGGTGTACCGGGGCCCGCGGGTGTAGCACGTACCTGGCCTGGTGGGTGGTGTACCGGGGCCCGCGGGTGTAGCACGTACCTGGCCTGGTGGGTGGTGTACCGGGGCCCGCGGGTGTAGCACGTACCTGGCCTGGTGGGTGGTGTACCGGGGTCCGCGGGTGTAGCACGTACCTGGCCTGGTGGGTGGTATACCGGGGCCCGCGGGTGTAGCACGTACCTGGCCTGGTGGGCGGTGTACCGGGGCCCGCGGGTGTAGCACGTACCTGGCCTGGTGGGCGGTGTACCGGGGCCCGCGGGTGTAGCACGTACCTGGCCTGGTGGGTGGTGTACCGGGGCCCGCGGGTGTAGCACGTACCTGCACGGGGCCCGCGGGTGTAGCCGTGGTCTGGTGGGTGGTGTACCGGGGCCCGCGGGTGTAGCTCGTACCTGGCCTGGTGGTCGGTGTACCGGGGCCCGCGGGTGTAGCACGTACCTGGCCTGGTGGTCGGTGTACCGGGGCCCGCGGGTGTAGCACGTACCTGGCCTGGTGGTCGGTGTACCGGGGCCCGCGGGTGTAGCACGTACCTGGCCTGGTGGTCGGTGTACCGGGGCCCGCGGGTGTAGCACGTACCTGGCCTGGTGGGCGGTGTACCGGGGCCCGCGGGTGTAGCACGTACCTGGCCTGGTGGGTGGTGTACCGGGGCCCGCGGGTGTAGCTCGTACCTGGCCTGGTGGGCGGTGTACCGGGGTCCGCGGGTGTAGCACGTACCTGGCCTGGTGGGCGGTGTACCGGGGCCCGCGGGTGTAGCACGTACCTGGCCTGGTGGGCGGTGTACCGGGGCCCGCGGGTGTAGCACGTACCTGGCCTGGTGGGTGGTGTACCGGGGCCCGCGGGTGTAGCACGTACCTGGCCTGGTGGGCGGTGTACCGGGGCCCGCGGGTGTAGCACGTACCTGGCCTGGTGGGTGGTGTACCGGGGCCCGCGGGTGTAGCACGTACCTGGCCTGGTGGGCGGTGTACCGGGGCCCGCGGGTGTAGCTCGTACCTGGCCTGGTGGGCGGTGTACCGGGGTCCGCGGGTGTAGCACGTACCTGGCCTGGTGGGTGGTGTACCGGGGCCCGCGGGTGTAGCTCGTACCTGGCCTGGTGGGTGGTGTACCGTTGCCCGCGGGTGTAGCACGTACCTGGCCTGGTGGGTGGTGTACCGGGGCCCGCGGGTGTAGCTCGTACCTGGCCTGGTGGGCGGTGTACCGGGGCCCGGGGGTGTAGCACGTACCTGGCCTGGTGGGTGGTGTACCGGGGCCCGCGGGTGTAGCACGTACCTGGCCTGGTGGGTGGTGTACCGGGGCCCGCGGGTGTAGCACGTACCTGGTCTGGTGGGTGGTGTACCGGGGCCCGCGGGTGTAGCTCGTACCTGGCCTGGTGGTCGGTGTACCGGGGCCCGCGGGTGTAGCACGTACCTGGCCTGGTGGTCGGTGTACCGGGGCCCGCGGGTGTAGCACGTACCTGGCCTGGTGGTCGGTGTACCGGGGCCCGCGGGTGTAGCACGTACCTGGCCTGGTGGTCGGTGTACCGGGGCCCGCGGGTGTAGCACGTACCTGGCCTGGTGGGTGGTGTACCGGGGCCCGCGGGTGTAGCACGTACCTGGCCTGGTGGTTGGTGTACCGGGGCCCGCGGGTGTAGCTCGTACCTGGCCTGGTGGGCGGTGTACCGGGGTCCGCGGGTGTAGCACGTACCTGGCCTGGTGGGTGGTGTACCGGGGCCCGCGGGTGTAGCTCGTACCTGGCCTGGTGGGCGGTGTACCGGGGCCCGCGGGTGTAGCACGTACCTGGCCTGGTGGGTGGTGTACCGGGGCCCGCGGGTGTAGCTCGTACCTGGCCTGGTGGGCGGTGTACCGGGGCCCGCGGGTGTAGCACGTACCTGGCCTGGTGGGCGGTGTACCGGGGCCCGCGGGTGTAGCTCGTACCTGGCCTGGTGGGCGGTGTACCGGGGCCCGGGGGTGTAGCACGTACCTGGCCTGGTGGGCGGTGTACCGGGGCCCGCGGGTGTAGCACGTACCTGGCCTGGTGGGCGGTGTACCGGGGCCCACGGGTGTAGCACGTACCTGGCCTGGTGGGTGGTGTACCGGGGCCCGCGGGTGTAGCACGTACCTGGCCTGGTGGGCGGTGTACCGTTGCCCGCGGGTGTAGCTCGTACCTGGCCTGGTGGGTGGTGTACCGGGGCCCGCGGGTGTAGCACGTACCTGGCCTGGTGGTCGGTGTACCGGGGCCCGCGGGTGTAGCACGTACCTGGCCTGGTGGGTGGTGTACCGGGGCCCACGGGTGTAGCACGTACCTGGCCTGGTGGGTGGTGTACCGGGGTCCGCGGGTGATAAGGTACAGCATGCGGCGCTCCCTGGAGTCCGCAGCCCACCGCCGCAGCCTGTCGGCCTCCAGCACCCGCAGGCGGCCCCACGCAGCCTGCGGCAGACACGAGTATTACCTCTCAAGCTCCTGGGTCCCGGCACACACTGGTGAGGCTGGAGGGCGACACCTGAGCCGGCCCGCCTCTCAGACCCTCCTTAATAAACCAATATATCAACGGTTCGTATTGAATAATTTTCAGTCCCCCAAAATCGTCACGTTGTATTGTCTTGTATTATACAGTAGGGTAAACTACAACATGGAATACCACCACCTCTCTACACAAAAAATCAGTTAGTCTTCAGGAGCCGAAGATCTGCCCAACAGGCTGTTAACATCCTATACCATCCTATACTACGGGGCCTGGTAGCCTGGTGGATAGCGCGCAGGACTCGTAATTCTGTGGCGCGGGTTCGATTCCCGCACGAGGCAGAAACAAATGGGCAAAGTTTCTTTCACCCTGAATGCCCCTGTTACCTAGCAGTAAATAGGTACCTTGGAGTTAGTCAGCTGTCACGGGCTGCTTCCTGGGAGTGGAGGCCTGGTCGAGGACCGGGCCGCGGGGACACTAAAGCCCCGAAATCATCTCAAGATAACCTCAGGAAGCCCGTCCTCCAAAAATGGGGAGGTAAATGTAACGGCTCCATAAGTGCAATTATGTACTATGAATGACAGTCAGGAAATGTACTTATTTTTAGTTAGTATTAAACCGTACTGTCAAATATATTGTGAATATTTGAGTTTACCTGAAAAGCTGAATAGAAAACCACGACCTAACCTAACCGTCTTAAAACCCGGCTGACATCACTCTTCAGCAGAAGCAAACGGCAGTAATGACAACCGGAGACGATCATTGGCAGCCTTTGGCACAACGGTCTCCTATTACCGCCTTACCGCACCACAGTTCAATCTTCCCGAGACTCGGCAACAACTTGCTGAAGATCAGGAGAGTCATGCCACTGTTTAACACCAGAGTAGCGCCGGCAAGCACCCCACCGGCGGGAGTACTGCCAGGGTGTACCTTCATCCTCTTCGTCAACGACCTCCCACTGCACACTTATGATGACACCACCATCACCCAGTTCCCCGACGACGACATAGACGTTGTCACATACAAACCTGCAGGACAGGGGTCGGAACACAGCGAAGTGATCCGTATGGCAAAAGAGGAATTGGCCAACACAAGACGATGGGAACAAGGCTACCTACCTTGAGGCTACCTTGAGGTGCTTCCGGGGCTTAGTGTCCCCGCGGCCCGGTCGTCGACCAGGCCTCCTGGTTGACACAAGAGTGGAAGAGAGTGACTAACCCAAGTAAAATACAGCTCTGCTGTATAGGCTGCTGGGCCAGCACACTGGGAGCCATCAGTATCTGAGGCACTTCCATGCCGGTACAGAACTCTACCACCATGCTGGGTTATGACATATCACGGCTACTAAACTCCAATGATCACATCAACAAGAAGTCAGCAATGACCAAGGCGCAGCTCGTCAAGCTGTACCGGTTCCGTCAGGCCCCACAACATGTGAAACAGCATCTCTACAGGGTGAGCAGGCTGCTCCTGGAGTACCTGCACACCCCGCTCACCCTAGCTAAAAAATCCAATATGCTCAAGTTGCAGCGCGTCCACAACAGAGCCTTGCGACTTGTAGCTAACCATGAGCGCACCGGTCCATGTCGGTGCGCTCATGGACCGGTGCGCTCATGGACCGGGTGCGCTCATGGACCGGGTGCGCTCATGGACCGGGTGCGCTCATGGACCGGGTGCGCTCATGGACCGGTGCGCTCATGGACCGGGTGCGCTCATGGACCGGTGCGCTCATGGACCGGTGCGCTCATGGACCGGTGCGCTCATGGACCGGTGCACTCATGGACCGGTGCGCTCATGGACCGGTTCGCTCGTGGACCGGTTCGCTCGTGGACCGGTGCACTCATGGACCGGTGCACTCATGGACCGGTGCACTCATGGACCGGTGCACTCATGGACCGGTGCGCTCATGGACCGGTGCGCTCATGGACCGGGTGCGCTCATGGACCGGGTGCACTCATGGACCGGTGCGCTCATGGACCGGTGCGCTCATGGACCGGTGCACTCATGGACCGGTGCACTCATGGACCGGTGCGCTCGTGGACCGGGTGCGCTCGTGGACCGGTGCACTCATGGACCGGTGCACTCATGGACCGGGTGCGCTCATGGACCGGTGCGCTCATGGACCGGTGCACTCATGGACCGGTGCACTCATGGACCGGGTGCGCTCATGGACCGGGTGCGCTCATGGACCGGTGCACCGACAACCTCCATAACCAGACTGAAGCTGGACCCGCTGAACGTTCACCTGCACAGCCTCTCCATGAAGCAGCTGTACAAAATGAAGAGCATGTATCTTCACAACCGTGAAGACACTCTTGTGATACATAATTCAACTCCCTTTGAAATAAAATACCCCACAGAACAAGGAGAATGTCTCTCCAGCAACCAGCAGGTAGAAACATCCACGACAGCGGCTACCCAAGACCTAGACCTCTGATCAAACCGCCAACAGAGGAAGAGTGGCCACCACCAGGCCCAATGTTCACCCAAGTCCCACCACCAGGCCCAATGTTCACCCAAGTCCCACCACCAGGCCCAATGTTCACCCAAGTCCCACCACCAGGCCCAATGTTCACCCAAGTCCCACCACCAGGCCCAATCCCACCACCAGGCTCAATGTTCACCCAAGTCCCACCACCAGGCCCAATGTTCACCCAAGTCCCACCACCAGAAGCTCCAAGTCTAACAAATTAACTTAACTTTTCTGACAAACCACGGATCTGGACCGTCCCTCCTCTCTCTCTCTCTCTCCTTTCATTCAGTTCAACTATTTTCCAACATCGTATGTTTGCTCCTTTTCATTAAGCAAGTCAGTATGTTTGCTCCTTTTCATTAAGCAAGTCAGTTTTACACAAATAAATCATGTTAGTAAGCAAGTTCTAGCTCACGTTCCCCACCTTAGTCCCCTGTCGTATAATGAATACTATCATTCCAATCCCTCTAAAATTTAAAAATAATCATATTTCAAATGTAGTTCAATACAGTAATTTAGTTACCAAGCTCCAGCTCTTGTCCTCCGCCTTAGCTCTCTCTCGTATCTTCGTTAGTATCAGTCCAATTTCCCTGAAATTTCTACCCTCTGTATTTCAGACATAGTTTAGTAAATGCAAACAATTATCAAACTCTAGCTCTTGTCCCCAGCTTAGTTCATTTGTACAAAATCATTAGTAACAGTCCAAATTCCCTGAGATTTTTAGCCTCTGTATTTCAGACGCCATAAATAAGATCAAAACAGTTACCAAGCTCCAGCTCTTGTCCTCCGCCTTAGTTCTCTTTCATATCTTTGTAAATAAACCACCAATTTCCCTGAAATTTCTACCCTCTGTATTTCAGACACCGTAAATAAAATCAAGTCAGTTATCGAGCTCCAGCTCTCGTCCCCGCCTTAGTTCTCCTTCGTATCTTTGTAAATAACCCATCAATTTCCCTAAATTAAAAGCAGACATACTTCAAAGTTAGTAAATAAAATCAAGTCAGTTATCGAGCTCCAGCTCTCGTCCCCCACCCTCTTCCACCCTCAAGTCTTTGTAAATAAACCATCAATTTCCCTGAAATTTTTTACCCTCTGTATTTCAGACATAGTAAATATGAAGTAAACAATTATAAAACTAGCTCTTGTCCTCTGTCCAAGCTCACTTTTGTAAAATCATTACTCTCAGTCCAAATCACCCAACTACATTTTCAGACATAGTAAATAAAAACCAGTTCAGTTATCAAGTTTCAACTCTTAATTGTGCCCCAGCTTAGTTCATTTGTGCAAGTTCTTTATTTTCCAACTAAATCACCCTGAGATTTAAGATCACCTTATTTTCTAACGTAGTAAAATTAATCTGGACATTAACAAAGCTCCATTTCCTCAGCCTTAGATCATCAGACATAAATATATTCGATCAAGTCCCTCTCCAGCCTATCTGTTTATCTGAGTAATTACTTTACCCTTCTCATCCCCAACGTATCAATCCCCAACGTATCCAAACCTTCAATAATCATACTGTATTTGCATATTTTCTCTATATTCACTGTGTTCTTCGTATTCTCATCCGTGTTCACTCCATGTTCTACAAATGTTCACAGTCCCATTCAGTTCATATTTTCACAAGTATCTCCATTTTTTAGTCTCATTATGTTCTCTACAAATTCTAGTCATATTTTCTATGTTTTCATATTCATCACATGTTCTCTTTACAACTTTTATACTCAATATTCATGCTAACTTCCATATTTTGTGTTCTTTGTCAATATTCATGTTCCTCTACAAGTTCATGTTCCTCACAAGATCACTTCGTTTTTTCACCTTCACTTACATGTTTTCTACATTCTTTGTCATATTCTCCATGTTCTTCACAAGTCCATTGTTCATTCTTTGTAATCCCTATTCTCCTTATCATGTTTTCATGTTCTCTGTAAGTTCATATTCCCAGCATGTTCACTGTATTCATCAACTTTTCTTACATGTGTTCTTTGCCATGTTCCCCATATGTTCTCTGGGTTTTTCCCCTATCTAACGTTCCTTAACTAAAAAAATCTTTCGCCAATCAACTAAAACATAGTCACTTTCGTCATTTCTCAACTAAACCTATTATCCAGTCAACTAAAAATAGTCAGAAATAGCCTCGTTCAACACTGTTCTTAACTAAAACAACCTTTCTCTTAGCTAAAAATTGTCAAAGGAAACTTTTTCAGCACTTTCTTAACAGGCGCTATGTTTCATCAAGAAAAATTGTCAAAGGAAACTTTCCAAAACTGTTCATAACTAGCTTTTATCCATCGTCAATCAACTAAAAATAATAACTTTCATCATTTCTTAACTAAACATATTCCCCATTCATCAGAAAATAACCGTGTTCATCATGTTTCATTGTCATTTCTTAACTAAATTATCTGCCAATCATCAGAAAAAGTCATGTTCATCATGTTTAAGCTTTTGCTCAACTAAAAGTATTCATCGGTCAACTAAAAATAGTTACTTCATCATGTTTCCTTGTCATTTCTTAACTGAAATATCACTTCTCTCATCTGAAAATAGTCAGGATTAACCTCATTCAACACCGTTCTTAACTAAAACAGCCTTTCGCTTAGCTAAAAATTGTCAAAGGATTCTTTTCAGCACTGTTCATAACTAACTTTATCCATCGTCAAGTAAGAAAATATAGTCAAAGATATCTATCATCGTCGTTCTTAACTGACATTTATACTTTGTGGAGCACTAAAATAGTCAAATGTAACTTTTTCAACACTTTCGTAACTAAAATTATATGTCGCTAAGTAAGAAAAAATAGTCAAATGTAACTTTTTCAGCACTTTCGTAAAAATTATATGTCGTTAAGTAAGAAAAAATAGTCAAAGGTGCTCTCCGTAACACCAAAGTTACTCTTCGAGATAACAAAAAGACGCTCTCAAACACTCAAAAATTTACTCGCATCCTCAAAGTTATTCTCAGAGTCATCAAAAAGTTAATCTCAGTTATCAAAATGCTATTCTCCAAGTAGCCTTTCATTCATCAGAGAACTTTCTAAGACATGTTCGTTCATTAAAGTTAATCTCAGAGGCATAAAAGTTATTCTCGGAGCTATCAAAAAGTTAATCTCTAAAACAACAAAAGTTAATCTCTGTCATCAAAGTTGATCTGCAAGATATCTTCGAGTCATCAAAAGTTACTTTTCATTACATCAAAGACGCGTTCAAATACTACCCATGTTCTCAGAAGTCATTCTCAAAGTTATTCAAAGAGCTAACAAAAGTTATTCTCAGAGTCACCTTCGTTCTTCAGAGAAACTTTCCAAAACATCTTTGTTCATCAAAGTTATTCTCAGAGTTAACAAAGGTAATCTCTAACTCACTCTCAGTCATCAAAGTTAATCCAAGAGACGTCAAAGTTAATCCAAGACATCATCTTTCATCAAAGATATTCTCTCTAAGCCATCAATGTTCTTCTCTAAGACATAAAGTTATTCTCTATGTCAACAAAAGTTATTCTCTGAGCTAACAAAATACTACTCATGTTCTCAAAGACATTCTCCAATTCATCAATGTTGTTTCAAAGACATCAAAGTTAATCTCAGAGTTATCCAAAGACATTCTCAAAGTCATCTAAAGTTATTCTCTAAGACATCAAAGTTATTCTAAGAGTTATCAAAAGTTATTCTCAGTCATGTTATGTTATTCTCTAACTCTCTTCCATTCATCAAAGACATTCTCTAAGCCCTCAAAGTTATTCTCTAAGACAACAAAGTCATTCCCAGAGTCATCAAAAGTTATTCTTCGAAACATAAAATTTGCTCTGTAAGATATCTTC